GGGGGGGGGGGGGGGAAGGAAAGACACCTAGTCCATTTCGTCTTCAACGCTACGTACGATGCATGTAAAATCTTCGAACGAGAAAACGTAAGGAAGTGTGTACGTTCGCTAGTATAGATATGTTTTGTATCATAGTTCTATCATAGAAATATTAATTAAAATAAAATTACTGTTTCGATGTTAAACGAACTGTGTCGTTCGCTTGCACGTCATTACCTGACCCGTGAACCCGTCTCGATAAAGTCGCGAATCGACCATATCGGTATCTTAACTTTAAAGTCAACGTTTCGCAACGCGTTCTCGCATCCCCGTTGGCTGTCTAGAGATTTTCCCCGCGTTTCTCGCAACCTTCGCGCTTCCTCTGAATTATTTAACACCGCTACGTGATTGGCCGACAAATCCGATATGCCTCAATAATTTACCAATCATACGCGGTCCTTTGTGTTTTATACGCCGCGTTTCGAATAAATCGCATTGCGTATTCAGGAGAGCGAGATCCAGCTCTATTCGGCTGTGAACGCGAACCCTCGCTGCTGTTCCCGAACAGCCTCGGGAACGAAAAGAAAAAAAGCAAAAAAAGAAAGAGAGACGGAGAAAAGATAAGAAGAGGAGCGGAAGTGAGGCAACGGTCTAGGAGGACGAGTAGATCGAAAAGGGAGTGATTTCTAAAGTTGAACGCGAAAGTTTACCGAACGTGTCGAAGACCATCCACGTATAATGCGTGGACGGGAAATTTACGACTATCCCGCGAATAACTTATCCACGGAGATAGCCGATTTCTCGTGTAAAAGGCATGCAAGGCGATTCGTTGGACGAAAGGACGACCGCGGTAATAAAACGCGGAGCGATTCGGTAAGAGGAACCGCTTATCTACGATCGAACGTCTGGCTAAAGTAAACCGAGAGGGAAACGGGTAGTGGAAAGAGCGAGCATTCGATGTAAATTGGCAATTTTTCTCGTGCAGCCTACGGTAATCATTGGCAATTAGACCACGGGCTACCGATAAATGTTATTTATGGCCGCGATTATCCGCGGCGCACCTAGCTGCTCGATGGCTCGCCTAACTATAAAACCCTACCCCTCTGTCCACCGTCTAATTGGTCGGCGATTATTCCTGTTTGTACAAAATGTCGGTACAAGCGCCACTTTACCTCGTCGCGAGCACGGGCGAAAGTTTCTGCTGAATCGCGTGGACCGATTTAATGCTCGCGAAACACGGATACCCGGCAGAACAACTTAACCGGCGGACGCTTTATCACCTCGTTAACTCGAGGTGTCGAACGGCGATATTCGAAACTACGGAATCCCGAGAATTCGAACGAGCGACCGGTTTCGTACGTTTTCGCGAGGGTTATTATTTTTCTTGGCCGACGATGGGCGAGCCCGGTCGTTTAACAGCCCGTCTGGCCATATTTTTCTATGGACACGATTATACGCCGGGACAAAAGCACGGATGAGAAAGCGGCTGTGGCCGAAAATCGTATTCCATCCGGTGAACGTGATTAAAAGGGAAGAACGTACGCATCGCGGTCCTCGCGGTCCTTGAAACAATATTATTATTAAAAGCTTTGCGCGGCCCGGTGATCCACGTGAGTCGACGGAATGACGAAAAGAGCGGTGTGGACAGGCAGAGGTGGCGGCCGAGTGGCGGCGGCGGCTGCGGCGGCGGCGGAGCGGAGGCGGCAGAGCGGAGGCGGAGGACAGGAGGGTAGGCAGAGAGGGTGGCTCGGGAGAGGGTCCGGCGACGGAACAGCGATTAATTAAAAGAGCAAAAACTGTTTTCATAAAATTCATTTGCGGAAATATGCGCCGACTGAAATAATATCCGGCCGATGAGCGCGCGTGTCCCGGCTCGCCGGTTCTCGCAGGCCGCGGCGTTCACGGGGACGCGATGCTCGAGTGAAAAAGCGACGCGAATAAAAATGGAGGCTGCACGAAATGCGAAAGTTTTCGCATTTTTTTACCTTCGCCCAGCGGACCGTGCGTGTATACGTTATCGCGCGCCACTGTGTGGGTGAGTACGTTTATTCTCTTGACCCGGCATCGTAAGCGTATCGTGCATACACCGGTTACAAAGCAACCAATCTTCTCTGTCTTTTCCTTCTTTTCTCTGTCCCTTTCCCCGACCGATTTCATCCCCCGCTCTCTTGCTCCTTCCTTCTCTTTTCTCCCCGACCTCTCCCTCCTTCCCGCTCTCGTTCAATCTCACGGCCGTTCAGTCGTAAAAATATTTCTACGCCTTCCTGGATATTTTTTCCTTCCGTTGCCATACCTTTGCGCGCTTTCCGTTGCCCTCGACCGCCGCCTCCGCTCCCACAGCCGCGCGCCCCGTCCCCCTCGGCCCCTATTATTCTCCGCGACTAGGAGTGGCGCGAAGCGTGATTTAAACGCGCGTAAAAGTGGCCGTTAAAAGGCAAGAAAGCTCCTTAACTCCCGCTTTGATTGGCCAACTCGGTTTATTAAAACGCCCCGGGCGATATTACATATTTTTCTTCTCGCTTGAACCGGGGCGCCACTTCGACGCTACTGTACTTACGCCTCCTTTTCCCGCGACGGTCCCCATTCTTCCGTATTCTTTGTCGAGGTATAAGGCTAGCTGCTCAAATAACCATTTTCTCTTTCTCCGTTCCCTTCCTTTCTCCCGTCCCGGTCACCCTCGGGCCAGCTTCGGCCAGTGTCTTACTACCACACACCGACAACTTTCTTCCTCGCGCCGCGCCCGCGCTACTCCCGGCATCTTTCAACCCTTCCGACTGATATTCCTCGAGAGCGGACGAGTAGGCGAGAGTACAGTCGTTGCGCCGGCTCGGAACGCGAGAGAGAAATATCAAGAAACGATCCGCTTGCGCGCGAATCGCGATCCGTCTACCGGGCTGACACGATCGCGAGGATCGTCGAAAGACTCGTCTTCTACGCGCGACAAACAGCCGGACTCCCTTTTGTAATATTAATTAATAAGGCAACTTCCGCGCAACGGGATACTTGCTGCTAATTAAGAAATACCTACAGAGCGCTCTTTTCCGACGCGGGGGCGAGGAAGCGGAAAAATAAGAGGTAGAAATTCCGCGCTGCTCTGGCACCCTTGGAACGAGGTAAACTTAATCCTCGGCCAAGTTAAACCAACTGCTAAGCTTTTCATTATGCCAAAATGAGCACGCGAAGAAGACGCTGGTCGGCCAGTCTTGTTTCCTTATTTTTCCACCCTTCTCTCTTTTCCCCCTTTTTTCTCCCCCCGCGGTCTCTTATGTCTAATATCGAACGATGATCTTTAATCCTCGCTTTCGACTGCTCGAGATTATCCGGCGAAATTCTTTAAACGTCTCTGGACTCCTTTGCATCGGAATTCTCGAGTTTTGAAGCCCCTTAGCATAGAATACGAGCTTTTCGTTTTCTCTTCTTTTCCTTATTTGTTCGAGAGGGAGAGTATTTCCCAAAGGGATCGTTCGCGATAAAAAAAAAAAAGGAGGAGGAGAGAAGGAGGAGAGATAAAACGGCGGAAAAAAGGAAGCAAGTGGCAAAGGTTGCAGAAGGAAACTCGGGGAACTTCGAATTCAAGCGGTATACGAAAGGCGACGAAAAGTTTTACGAGCGCCACAGCCGTCCTCGCTGGCTGGTTTGAATTGCATCAATTAAAAAAAGCCGTTCCACAAAAATTCCATAACGCGACGGGTGGAGGGCTGCGTCAAATGTCCCTGCACGTTCGCCGCTTTCCATTTCGACCGGCCAGTAAAACCTTTTCATTCTTTCGCACCTCTTTTTCGTTGCATCGTCGATAACGATTACTCCCCCTCCGCGCGATTTAATTTAGCATTTCGTTCCCCGAGATCAGGCCAAATATATCTCGCTTTAGCGGCATGCCGCGTTTTAATTTGTCCGCGAAAATGCGTCTCGCGAAAATTCACCGTATCGGGAAGCACCGTTCGATGATGATCCCGAAATGGATATATACCGATAGAAAATACGGAAAAAAATATGGCGTCTTGACGATCTCGCGCGCCGATATTTCTAAAGTCTCCGAGAAGAAACGAGAAGAGTACTATACTACGGGAAGAACATAACAATGGTACACCTGGAATAGTACGTATAGGAACGGCACTCGAGGTATGCGAACTATGTTCTCATAATACTTTGTCCGGTCGGAGAGGATATATGAAAATGTACGACAAGGGTGGATGGTGCCAAGGGTGAAATCTAGGGTCGCGACGTCCGAAAGGATATTTCTGTCGCGTCACGATACGTTTGATTCGACGCGTCGTTGTTAATTTTTTCGGAATTGAACGGGCGGAACAGAACTGGAAATACGCCTTTGAAGTATTCTCGACTTTTCGTTCCGAAGGAATAAAAATGAGAAACAAAGTCCCGGTGTATCCGCGAGTTTCGACGCGGATATTGGAAGGCTTCGACGTGAGACGGTCGAAGCCTGTGAAAAATCGCACCTAAAGAGAACTCGTTATTCGCCATTGGAACGATAATTTGTTACGTCGCGCGGGGCAATTTAATTCGAAAAAAGCACGATTTAATTTCAGTCCTGAAAAGCAGTCGACGAAGCCGTATCGCTGA